ATGGTTGCCTTGAGGAAATTGGAGGGCAGGGAGGAGAGAGGATGGAATGAGAAGTGAGAGGGCAGATTGGGAGCGCCAAGGCGTGGAAGAGAGGAATTAGGGGATGAAGTGGGGAGAGAGGGGAGGAAGAGCGCACACCCATACCCACCCGCATGTGCATGCCAGATGGCGATGTGAGGTTGTTGATGACAGGCGGCACCTGTGGTATGGAGGGCACAGCGGGCATGATTGCGAGGATGTGAGGTGAGGAGTGAAGATGGGGAGCATGAGCATTGACACATGGGACATGACAGCACATGGTTCCCTGGGCAAACGGGGAAGGGGAACGCAGACCACTGGACAGAGTCGAATGGAGGGACCGGTAATTAGAGGAACAAAGGAGTTGAAGTGCCGGCATTTTGGAGATTGGAGGGCTCGAAGGAAAGAGTAGGAAGTGCAGGGCAGGGCAGGGCGATCTTGGTAATCAAGTTCGTTACATGTAAGCATGCGAGAGTAGTGCAATCCTGATGGGACTCGTGCACGCCGACACGAGTAGAAAGGAAGGGGAAGCTAATCATCTCCACCAGGAAGAGGAACAAGGGTCAGGGCGGAGCACCTGCAGTAAGGATGGGAGAGTGATGAGGAAGAGGTGAGGTCACAGATGAGAGCGACCGGCAAGAGTAGAGGGGTGAGAGTAGAGGCATGAGAGTAGAGGGGTGAGAGTAGAGGCGTGAGAGTAGAGGCGTGAGAGTAGAGGGGTGAGAGTAGAGGGGTGAGAGTAGAGGGGTGAGAGTAGAGGGGTGAGAGTAGAGGCGTGAGAGTAGAGGGGTGAGAGTAGAGGCGTGAGAGTAGAGGCGTGAGAGTAGAGGGGTGAGAGTAGAGGGGTGAGAGTAGAGGGGTGAGAGTAGAGGCGTGAGAGTAGAGGGGCGAGAGTAGAGGGGTGAGAGTAGAGGGGTGAGAGTAGAGGGGTGAGAGTAGAGGGGTGAGAGTAGAGGCGTGAGAGTAGAGGCGTGAGAGTAGAGGCGTGAGAGTAGAGGGGTGAGAGTAGAGGGGTGAGAGTAGAGGGGTGAGAGTAGAGGGGTGAGAGTAGAGGGGTGAGAGTAGAGGCGTGAGAGTAGAGGCGTGAGAGTAGAGGCGTGAGAGTAGAGGCGTGAGAGTAGAGGCGTGAGAGTAGAGGGTGAGAGTAGAGGGGTGAGAGTAGAGGGGTGAGAGTAGAGGGGTGAGAGTAGAGGGGTGAGAGTAGAGGAGTGAGAGTAGAGAGGCGAGGAGGCAGAGAGGCGAGGAGGCAGAGAGGCGAGGAGGCAGAGAGGCGAGGAGGCAGAGAGGCGAGGAGGCAGAGAGGCGAGGAGGCAGAGAGGCGAGGAGGCAGAGAGGCGAGGAGGCAGAGAGGCGAGGAGGCAGAGAGGCGAGGAGGCAGAGAGGCGAGGAGGCAGAGAGGCGAGGAGGCAGAGAGGCGAGGAGGCAGAGAGGCGAGGAGGCAGAGAGGCGAGGAGGCAGAGAGGCGAGGAGGCAGAGAGGCGAGGAGGCAGAGAGGCGAGGAGGCATAGAAGCAAGGAGGCGTGGTGGCGAGGATGCGAGGGTCGGGGCTGCAGCTGCTCGTGCTGAGTGGTGTGGTGGGTATTGAAAGAGGAGGATGAGTGTGGTGGTGTCGAGAGGGTCAGGTGAGAGTGAGACTGCAGGCATGGAGGGCTGGGGAGGGGAAGGAGAGAAGGGGTTTTTGCGGTGACGCTGAGTGAGAGGGGGAGGAGGAAGCGTGATGTGGTGCCGAACTCGAAGGCGGCGGAGAGAGGGATTGGCGGGAAAGTAGGGTGATGGGGTGGGGGAAGAGGAACGGGTGGGAAAGTAAAAGTGGGGAAGGGCACCCTGGTGCGGTGGCGTGCTGGCGGGGTGGAAACTTGGCGTGGAGGCGAGGAGGCGAGGTGGCGCTCCCGCGAAGAGGCGCGGAGGCGAGGTGGGGAGGTGGCGCTACCGCGAGGAGGCGCGGAGGCGCGGAGGCGAGGCAGCGAGGTAATGAGGTGGCGCGGAGGCGAGGAGGAGGGGAGACGCTGCCGACGCGTTCCTTCAATGACGCGGAGCGCACACTAGCTGTAGGCGCGGCCTTGGGGCCGCAATTTTTTTAGTGAAGGTCAGCGAGATGAATACGGGATGGGAGGCGGGGTTCCTTTGTCAGATTACGCTTGTAGTATTCTCGTCGCGGCAGAGAATACGCGACGAGTTCCTTGCTTGTAACCCTAACTCTCGACCCCATTATGCGCCTCGTGCAGCGCCGAAGTGGCGGGTGCGACGTGGTCAGGCGAGCAGAGAATCGCCAGACGAAATCCATATCGCGAGGAAATGGGGCGGTCTACGCTAGTAACGTGCTGCCTATCACTACTAGTAAGAATAGGCAGGTCGAGAAAGAAGTACACAAACATTCGATGTGTCCGTCAAGATGTGTGGGAAATTGGATTGGGGGAAATTGAGGGGGGAATACCACTCTGAACCACTCCGCTTTCTTCCGCTAAGCAAGAAATTGTTTCCCCCACCTCCACAGTCGGGAAACGCCGTAACTCGGCCGGTCAAGGGATAACCTTTGATGAAATTGGAATGAATGTGCACCCTGGTTTTAAGAAGCACAGCTTCGCTTTTGATCTGCCTCACGGATCTGCGATGTACCTGATTTCGTATTTTCAAACCAATCGGGCCGTTCTAGTATCCGAACTGAGTCTCCGCTCGTTTCGCGTCCAAGGTCGATGAAGGCGTAATCAGTTCGGTTACAGACAAAAATCAGGTTACTGCTTTGTAAACTTTATGAAAACGAACGCCACCTGACCCGCCCTTAGAAGTTCCAGCGCAATGCATTCTACTACCCACTCGTAATTGTCAATTCGAGAAATCATCCGCACAATCCCTCCTAGGTTGAAGCACGCCAGGTGCCATAGGAACACTCAAGCATGCAGAGTAACACGTGGCACGCCCCAATAGCTAAATCTTGAACCAAGGCCGATCTCGTCTCGCGATTCGCGCGAAGATGAGTTTTTTCCACGCCAAAGGAGAGTCAGGATGCGAAATGGCAGTGGAGCCTTCTCGTATCCATTGCGAGGTGCCTACGTGTTTTAGATCTCATACGACTCGTTTGTATGGAACGTGTAGTTTTAATCCCCTAGACTTACGGCACGTAAACGAGAGTCTAGTCTCCAAATTTCACGAGCAAGATCACGCATCTTCTCCTTGCAGTTCAGTTCTTCCTTCCACGGTGAGTTCTCTACATTTTCGCCAACTCAGCACGTTAAGTAAAGACATAAACTTCGTGGGAGCCATGGAAAGAAGACGTGAAGGAATCACATTATAATGCTGTAATGGTTGAGAGCTTTCACGAAGGGTTAAAAAGCAACCGTTTTGCCTCTAAATAACCTCCGATTTGACTCAGTGGTCCAAGGCATGGAACGTCATAGTTCCAACAAAGGAGTTGTGTTGGTATTTTGGCACAACGTGTGCTAGACCATCGGGCCAAAACGGGGGTTGTTCAGAAACGGTTGCCTTTTAACCCTTCGTGTAAGCCCGCAAACATTACACTTTTGCTGAACTCACCACAAACATGCAATCTTTGCTGCTGAACCCCCAACAGGGTCATGTTGGTCATCTTAGAGTTTTTTTTTTCAAATAATTCTTGTACCATTTGTGAAACGTACTTTTCTCCATGTTTGGAGTTTCCCTTGACAAAAGTCAACGTTCTGGTATGCATCCCTTCTTTGGCCAGCAGCAGAGCTGGCCTGAGCATCAACCCCAGATTTTTGCGCCCAGATCTGTGCGAATATGAGCTCCAATCCTAGATCTGTGCGAACCTGAGCGCCCAAGCCCAGATCTGTGCGATTCTGAGCGCCAATCGCAGACCCGTGCAAATCTGAGCGCCGATCCTAGATCTGTTCAAATCTGAGCGGCAAACCCAGATCTGAGCGCTGATCCCAGATCTGTGCAAAACTGAGCACAAAATCCCAATACCCACGAATTTGACCTCCAAAACCGCCTCTGCCAAACACTCTAGGCGAGGTCTCATGCTCCTTGGAACCCAAGTCTATCTGAACCAATTAGTTTGTCAAACTGAAGATGTTTGCTGATTTCTGTTTGCAGTTTGTTAATTTGCTCAACCCTCACAGTCATCTTCTACATTCTCATGTTGTCATGTTTAGTCACACTCCTCACCTTCCTTGGAGCCCTGCTGTGCACTTTGTTACAACACCAAGATACCCATTGGAAGGCCTGAAGACAAGCAGCCATGCCTCAAACAGCAGAAAACTTTGACGACCGACCAGGTAGGTTTTCGATTCAATCGGTGGTAGTGCCTAATGCCAACCAGTGTTTTCCATGTCGTTTGTATTAACCTGAGACCTCGTGTTCACCTTTACACTTTGTGCTTTGTTCATTGTTATCCTTTTGTGTTTCTTGTTCTTCACCCTAAAGCAGGTTTTGAGTGCTTCCATACTAACAGTTTATGGGCGTGTCAAGTTGGCAAACCTGAAAGTGATCCTCAAAGGGAGCAGAACGTGGGGGAAGGGAACCTGCAGCCCTACTGTGTCTCCTATGACAACCCTCATGAGGAGAAGGAAGTGGTGGTGCAGGCCCGGCTCCGGCTGGCCTCCCGCACTCTTGAACCAAGTGACTGTCGATTGATCAAGGAGGGCACTCTTGTAGTTGCTTTCGTGAAGCATCCTTCTGGTGATGCAGCCGTTTGCGGGGAGGTGAGACACTGATTGCTTGGTGAATGTGCTGAGGTGCAGGTCTGATCTACTGGTCTACTATTCTGTGATGATTGGTTGCACATGTCCCACCTGGGGAGATGATTTATGGTTTTTTAGACCAACAATGTGGCAAATAATCCATTGACAATGTGATACATCATCTGAGACAGAGTTTAGTGTCTTTCACAACATGTTTAGCGTGATTGTGTGTGTCTTCATTTTGTTCCCTTCCCTCCCCATCCACAGGCACAATATGTCTGGAAGAGTAGTAGTACCAATCAGGCATCGGAGCCGCAAGGATTGATGGAGGACAGCTTATTAGACGCGATGGTGTGTGTCTTCCTGCTGTTCCTTTCCCTTCCACAGGCACACTACGATGGAAGAGTCATGTCAATAGATCGTCGGCGCCACAGAGTCCTACGAACAGGAAAGGAAAGCTGCCGCTGCACCTTCGGTGTGCGGCTCTTCCGCCACTGCTTCACCCGACCCCCCTCCAACGACACAGCCCATCCTGCCTCTTGTAACAATGAACCTGGACCATTGCCAGCTGCAACCACATCGTCTGCAACAGCAGCAGATGCAGCAGCAGCAGCAGCAGCAGCCTCTCGTTGCGTCAATGTCGGCAGCGACAGAAACAGCAGGGGCGGGACTAGCAGCAGAGAGGGCGTGTGCTCTGACACTGGAGTTACGGAGATCAGCACCAGTTTCAATGATCCTTCTCGCTTTGTTGCAGATGACAGCCGGGAGAGCCGGCTGGATTGGGCGAGTGTGAGTTGCCCGATCTCCGCCCTTTGTGTTAGAGTTAATCCCCTTCGCCCGCTGCCAGAGCTTCTAGAGCAGCACGTGGCTTCACTTCGACAGCCGTTCCCGATTGAAGGGGTAGAACGGAGGGAGGTCCAGGTGGGGGAAGACACGGTGGTGGTGAGTGGTTGGGGTTGGGAGGATTGGCGGGTGAATACCCCGTACTCCTGGTCTGGGGCCCTGCTGCCTGACGCAAGAGCTGGTGGTGGTGGTGGTGGTGTAGCTGCTGCTGCTGCTGCTGCTGCTGCTGCTGCTGCTGCTGCTGCTGCTGCTGCTGCTGCTGCTGCTGCTGCTGCTGCTGCTGCTGCTGCTGCTGCTGCTGCTGCTGCTGCTGCTGCTGCTGCTGCTGCTGCTGCTGCTGCTGCTGCTGCTGAGAGGAAGGGCAAGCGGAAGTGGGCGGAGGAAGATAGAGGAGGGGAACGGAGGGCAAGAAATCCTGCTGCTGGCCCATCCTCCCTGTCTGCCACTCCTGCTGCTGGCCCATCCTCCCTGTCTGCCACTCCTGCTGCTGGCCCATCCTCCCTGTCTGCCACTCCTGCTGCTGGCCCATCCTCCCTGTCTGCCACTCCTGCTGCTGGCCCATCCTCCCTGTCTGCCACTCCTGCTGCTGGCCCATCCTCCCTGTCTGCCACTCCTGCTGCTGGCCCATCCTCCCTGTCTGCCACTCCTGCTGCTGGCCCATCCTCCCTGTCTGCCACTCCTGCTGCTGGCCCATCCTCCCTGTCTGCCACTCCTGCTGCTGGCCCATCCTCCCTGTCTGCCACTCCTGCTGCTGGCCCATCCTCCCTGTCTGCCACTCCTGCTGCTGGCCCATCCTCCCTGTCTGCCACTCCTGCTGCTGGCCCATCCTCCCTGTCTGCCACTCCTGCTGCTGGCCCATCCTCCCTGTCTGCCACTCCTGCTGCTGGCCCATCCTCCCTGTCTGCCACTCCTGCTGCTGGCCCATCCTCCCTGTCTGCCACTCCTGCTGCTGGCCCATCCTCCCTGTCTGCCACTCCTGCTGCTGGCCCATCCTCCCTGTCTGCCACTCCTGCTGCTGGCCCATCCTCCCTGTCTGCCACTCCTGCTGCTGGCCCATCCTCCCTGTCTGCCACTCCTGCTGCTGGCCCATCCTCCCTGTCTGCCACTCCTGCTGCTGGCCCATCCTCCCTGTCTGCCACTCCTGCTGCTGGCCCATCCTCCCTGTCTGCCACTCCTGCTGCTGGCCCATCCTCCCTGTCTGCCACTCCTGCTGCTGGCCCATCCTCCCTGTCTGCCACTCCTGCTGCTGGCCCATCCTCCCTGTCTGCCACTCCTGCTGCTGCCTCATCTCCCTCTCCAGCTGCTGCCCCGTCTGCCTCTCCAGCTGATGCCCCGTCTGCCTATGGTGGTATGGGGAGTAAGAGGAGGGGTTCTGTGAGACCCTTTACAGGCATTCCCCTTGGTGCTGTGGTGATCATTCTGTCAGATGATGAGGGAGAGGCTGGGAAGGGTGTATGCGGTGAGACACGGGGGCGATCTGAAGGGGGAGAGGAGGAAAGGAACAAGCGGAATGGCGAGGGAGAGGATGTGGTAGAGGGGGGAAAGGATAAAGAGAAACTTGTTGGAGTTGAAGGTGGGTTGGTCAGATGAGAGTGGGAGAGAGGAGGTCGAAGTGACGGGAGACACAGAGGGTGAGAAGTTAGTGGAGGAGAAAGAAATGGGAGAAGTGGAGACAGCGGAGGAGGAGCAAATGGAGGAGAACGAAGAGGAAGAAGTGGAGATAGACGATGAGGGGGAGCAGGAGGAGGAGAAAGAAGAGGGGGAAGTGGAGGCAGAGGAGGAGGAGGAGGAGGAGGAGGAGGAGGAGGAGGAGGAGGAGGAGGAGGAGGAGGAGGAGGAGGAGGAGGAGGAGGAGGAGGAGGAGGAGGAGGAGGAGGAGGAGGAGGAGGAGGAGGAGGAGCAAGAGGAGAAGGAAGAGGGGGAAGTGGAGACAGACGAGGAGGAGCAGGAGGAGGAGGAAGATGGAGACGTGGAGATACTATTATAAGATGGCCAGCCAACCAGTTGCATTGTAATTAACCACTCCGCATATTATAATGAGTTTTTGCTTCAAGCCTTCTTTCACATACCATCACATTGGTTTTCATGAAATGCAACTGTTTTCATATCATCAAAGCTCAGTTAGCTCCTTATGATTCTTCCACGTTATTGGAGCCCACGGCTAACGCCTCGTAGATCCTTAAACTTACGGAAGCTCAAGAAATTCCCCTCACCCAAACTAATCCTCATTTCCTCTGGCCCTGCTCACTTTGTCCACAAAGAGACATGGGATGCCAATCGTTACTGCACTCGCCTGAGAGGTAGAGAGAGGTGACAAACATGAACGGGGAGTGGGAGAGGGACACACCCGAGGTGGGAGAGGTGTCAGAATGCTAGGCAGGAATGAAATTACTAGATCAGGGTTTGGTACAAAAATGAAACCCTAATGGGGTTGTACCACATATTGGCTACCCCACTACAGCCTACACATATATAACATGCATATAATTTGACACACCCCCATAGGCAAAGTGGGGGAGAGCAAGGGGTCACAAGACCAGTCAAGAGAAGCAAAGCAAGCTCAGTGTGGATCACAATGTCACCACACTCTCTGAGCACAAGCAAAGGGCCACAAGGCCAGTCCACATGCAGACGTATATATATAACAGCAACAGTACAGTGTTCACTACCTAGCAAGAGCAAGCATGCAGGTATATATATATATCACAGTACAAGCACAGTCACGAGGTGAGCAAGTCAGACGAAACTGACACTAGGCCTAACAGAGTACACAAGCGCTAATGATCACCAGACGGAAGTGCCTTAGTGAATATATCAGCAGTGTTGGCCCGAGTGTCCACGTGAGCGAGACGAAGCTGACCACGCTGCTGCAACTCTCGAGCCAGGAAGTAACAGAGAGCGATGTGCTTCGTTCTGTGCTCTAGTCTGTGCTCCTAACACAAGGCAATGGCAGCCTTGTTGTCTACGTACAGAACTGGAGGGGAACGAGGCCGCGCTCCCGAGTCAGTCAGTAGGTAGGTGAGCCAACTTAGCTCCTGTGCAGCCATGGCGGTGGCGTAGATCTCAGCCTCACAACTAGAGCTGAGAACTGAAGACGAGCGGGTAGACCGCCAAGAGACAGAACCAGAGCCAAGGCTGAACGTGTAACCCTGTGACGACCGCTGCGTAGCCAGGTCGTCGACCCAAGAAGCGTCTGAGTGTCCAGTGAGGAGAACGTCACCCCGTCCTCCAAGCACGAGCCACATGCCCGACGTACTGCACAAGTAACGCAGTACCCTCTTCGCAGCATCCCAGTGCACCTTTTGGTGTCTACCAGGAGCCACGTATCGTGCCAGAAGGCCAAGAGGGTACACGAGGTCAGGACGAGTGCAGGTCATCAGGTACATGAGGCAGCCCACTAGCTCTGGATACGGGCCACTCGGCTCTATGGACTCATCCGAAGGCAAAGCTGAGAGCGAGTGACCAGTAGCCAGAGGAGTGGACTATGACGAGGAGAACTGGAAGCCGAAGCGCTGAAGGACCTGCTGCACCATGTGTGACTGAGTTAGGGTGATGGTGCGGCGTGCTCTGTCCTGGGTGATCTGCAAGCCAAGGTAACTGCGCAGCTCACCCAGGTCTGTGCACGTGTGTCTCTTCTACACCTCCGACTTCACAAGAGCGAGTGCCTCAGTGTCAGCAGTGGCAAAGACCAAGTCGTCGACGTACACGAGGATGTAGAACGGCGGCAGCGAGGTGTCAGTGCGCAGAAACAGCGACGGGTCAGCAGTAGAAGGAGCAAACCCAAGAGCCGCAAGTGTAGTCCTCAGTGTGTCGTGCCACTCACGAGGCGCCTGACAGAGACCATAGACTGGCCGGCGGAGGCTCCACTAGGTACCAAGAGGGAACGACCCAGTGAAGCTGGGAGGCCGGCGCAGCTAGATCTCCTCGTGCAGACCGCCCTGTAAGAACGCTGTGCTGAAGTAAAGAGAGTGAAGCTCGTAGTCACGCTGAGTGGCGACGTGCAGCAGCACCCGAAGAGTGGTCATCTTCGGGGTAGGGGAGAAGGTCTGGAAGAAGTCAACTCCCTGTCGCTGACTGAAGCCTCGTGCAACGTAACGAGCCTTGAAGACAGGCGGAGAACCCGGCGGCCGCTTCACCCTGAAAATCCATATGCCATCGACGATGTTCGCCCCAGGAGGGGGAACCTCATCGACGTAAGTGCCTGTGGACTTCCAGGATGCCATCTCTGCGTCCATGGCTGTCTGCCACTGAGAGGAGTAGGGACCCGCGATCGCGTCAGCGTAGGATCGCGGAGTCGAGATGTCCAGTGCATCCGGGTCTCCCTCAGGGGCGAGCAGCATGGCCATGAGATGAGGCGCAGCAGCCGCAAGACACTCAAAGTCCTCCTGCCTGTCCTCAAGGACGTTCGTGCCAAGAGCACACTCACCCCCGACGGACGGAGGACAGACAGACTCAGACTCAGCAACAAGACTAGCAGCGTAGTCTATTCGAGAGGCAGCAACAAAGTCAACAAGCTCAGCGACTAAAGCAGACGCAACGAAGGGTCAGCGACAACAGTGGCAAGCAGACGCGTGACAGTAGGGTGAGAAGCACGAACGCGGTCAGACTCAGGGTCGGGAACGACAGGCAGAGAAGACGTAGGAGGGGACGGCAGGGGAACACGCTGCGGAGCAGAGGAAGGACGCAGGGCCATGAGGTATGTGCCGGGGACAGCCGGCGGACGCTCACGAGGAACACGACGACCAGTACGACCAGTGCGGACAGTGCGAACAGGCGAGACAGGACGAGACGCAGGCTCACGACGCTCAGCAAGACCTCCTGTCTGCTCAGTGTAAGGAGAAGGAGCAGGCAGCGGCGAGCCAGGCTGTAACGGAAGATCAGTAGAAGACGGGTGGCTAAGAACCTGACGAAGCACTGAGTTAGGCGGCGGCAGAGACGACGGCGACGGTGGAGCGAAGAACAGCCGCGGCTGTGCAGTGCCACCAGCACTAGCACCTCCAGCGCTAGCACCTCCAGTGCCAGCACCTCCAGCAGCTCTAGAACCTCCAGCTCTAGCGCCTCCTGCTCCAGCACCTCCAGTACCAGCACCTCCGGCAGCTCCCAAACCTCCAGCTCCAGCGCCTCCAGCGCCAGCACCTCCAGCAGCTCCAGAACCTCCAGTACCAGCACCTCCATCAGCTCCCGAACCTCCTGCGACAGCGCCTCCAGCGCCAGCACCTCCAACAGCTCCAGAACCTCCAGTAGCTCCAGAACCTCCAGCGCCAGCACCTCCAGCACCAGCGCCACCAGCCGCAGCACCCCCAGAACCAGCAGTACCACCAGCCCCAGCAGCTCCAGTACCTCCAGTACGAGCACCTCTGGGACCAGCGGCTCCAGTAACTCCAGTAGAAGCGCCTCCAGTAGCTAAGTCACCAGCTCCCGTGCCTCCAACTCCAGCGCCGGTCGCAGCAGGGCCCCCAGCTCCAGCAGCGCGACCCTGACGGCTAACGTACCAATGACGCAGCTGCTGTGGGGAGAGAGGGAGACGCCAACGAGAGACCTGCGGCGAGGTACCAGCGGAGCGACTACGGAGGCGGCCGCTCCAAGAAGACTGCACACCAGGCGCCGCAATGCCCTCAGGCGCAGCACCCCCAGACTCAGGACCCCCAGGCGTAGCACCCCCAGTCTCCGCACCTTCAGGCTCAGAACCTCCAGGCTCCTCACGCTCAGGCTCAGCACCTCCAGGCTCCACACCCCCAGGCTCACCACCCCCAGGCTCAGCACCCCCAAGCTCCACACCCCTAGGCTCAGCACCCCCAGGCTCCGCACGCCCAGGCTCAGCACCCCCAGGCTCCGCATTGGCAGGCTCAGCACCCCCAGAAGCAGCACCCCGAGCAGGACCACCCCCTGCAGGACCTGAGTCACCAGTGACCTCAACCGGCTCAGTCAAGGGAGGAGGGTCTTCCTAAGACACACCTGAAGGAGCAGGACCTGGAGCGGGGAGAGGGTCTACCTGGGGAGGACCTGGAGCGAGAAAGAGCGCCGGGGGGGGGAGAGAGGCAATGCGGTAGGGAAAAAGACGGTAAAAGGGGACTGACTCGTCAAAGGTGACGTCCTGAGACGCAAAGACACGGCTCGAGGCGGGGTCGTAAAACTGCCAGCCAGGCGCGTCAGGGGGGAAACCAAGGAAGACGCAGGGAATGGCGCGAGGGGAGAGCTTGTCCGCGGACGTATCGCGGACAAAGGCACGAGCACCCCAGACCCGGAACGCGACGCATCGCCAACCTCCCCTGTCCAACGCAGTGTGGGCGAGGTCTCTGGCAAGGAGACATGGGGCCAGAGGTTGAGCTGATGTGCGGCGTACCGGACCGCAAACGGCCACAGAAAATGGGGGGCAGCCGCATGGATCATGGAGGTACGAGCGACCTCCATGACTAAGCCAATGCGGCGCTCAGCAACCCCATTCTGTTGCGGAGAGGCCAAAAGCGTGAACGTCTGGCGGATGCGGTGCTCCTCACAGTAGGCTCGCAAGAGGTCAGAGGAGAACCGACCACCTCTGTCAGAGTGCAGACGCAAGACACGAAAGTCCGAGTGGAACCGCTCGCGGAGCTGGAGACGAACAGCGCGGATCCAAGGGATCAAAACATCAGGGACACCCCCCTTGAGCTGCAAGGGGAAGACCGTGGTGTAACCCGTGTAGTCGTCGACTACCAGCAGGAAGTACCGCTCGTGGCCGTGTCCACGGACGCGGGCTGGGCCCCACACGTCCAGGTGGAGAGTCTGCAGCGGAGCCTCTGTGGGAGGGAACGAGGAGGAGTGAGGAGCGGAGCGCTGCCGCCCCTCGACGCAAGGAATGCAGGGCGGCGCAGGCGAGGGAGGGAGGGAGGGCAGAGACCTAGGAAGACCAGAGACCAGGGCGCGAGAGTGCATGCCACGAAGGCGAGGCAGGGAGGGGTGACCAAGGTGGTGGTGCCAAAGGAGAGTCTGGTGCGACAGGCTGCGACACTC